CTTAACTTAAGGTATAGGAGGAAATACGGAATTGCGGCACAAATATCAACGGCTCGACCTACGCTCTTAATATTCGATGTATAGTGTGATGGGGAGGAAACCCATCCCCAGTGCAAAATTTGAGGTCACAGGTCAAAGGGCAGTGGGAAAAAGGTCAGATATCAGACATTTTCTGAGGACATGGTCTAACGGATCGAGTGCAAAAACTTTTTAGTTTCAGCGCTTATACTTACCATTTTTATCACTTTATTGAAAGGACCATGAAATGTACTTTCCGCTGACGTGCGAAGAGTAAGTGTCTGATAACCTTTTGACCCTCAAGATGAGGTTACACATGGATTTGTTGACTGTTAACAAAGGACTAAACTGCTTTTGCTATTAGAGCCCCCTTCACCCCGCTTTCGGAAGTGAACAAGTGCGTCATTCATTGAAGTTTTAATAAAAAAATAATAAAATCGTCAAATTTAATAATTTCGAAAATTCCTAACCGCGCTACTCGATTGTTTTAGCCAATGAACGTAGCTGTGTGTGTGACGTCTTGCCCGCGCGCTTTATGCTTGGCTTAGCGGGCCTCGAAATGGATATCGGAGGCAGGCACCTCGCAACACGCGTGTTTGTTTACGCATAGCTTTGTGACATTAAGATGGGCGGTGTTGGAGAGTTCTGCGATGATAACCTCGTAATTTCTCAGAATTTCTTAAAGTGCATGGAACATTTTACCAATTTAGTGGTGTCAGTTAGTCACCGATATGTCACAGTAAGTACTAACCGTATTGGTTTCACACACGTTCACCTATTTTGCACACAGGCGGTCAATCATTGTGGAAAATTGTGTGAATATTTATTTTTATTGAGACGTTCCAAGTGCCTGTGCTTTCAACAGTCTTGTACGCCAATGCACGCGCGTCAAGAGCCACAAACTCAACATAATTTCATCTCTGTTATTGTTTACGCCTGAATGCGTGATTGATCAGGGAGGGGGTGCAGAGGGTGTGTAAGAGGGAGACATTTTCTTTGGGGTTCCACACAATTCCAACACAACTCCACTTGACAATTTCATGGGTCATTTCAATTGGAAGTTTTGCATAATGGACCCCCAACAAGCCCTTTGACTGACTAGTCAAGAAATTGAAATGTGTATAATTATATTGCTCTTATTTAGCCACTGATAGTTCTTATTTAAAACAAAGTCTTCATTGTTATCTTTTAAAACTACAGACCATCCGCAGACCGCTGTGGAGACGTGCGCCGGGCCTCGAATTTGGCGCACGTTTTCACTGCGGACAGCGCTTCATACTTGAACATCCCCGCGGTCGCGTGCGCATATCCCGCAGAACTGCGCGTCTCATCCGCGCGCAGCGCTCGGGATCAACAGCAAAGCTGTGCCACGCAATCTTGTATTATGTTTCTCTGGATTCGGTTGCCAGTGAGTTTATCAGAAGAATACCCGGCTACAGTACACGTCAGTTTGAGCGCTGTCGCTCTGCGGCACTTATTCTATATCTGACTCTCCCCCCCCCCTCTCTCTCGCTCTCTCTCTCTCTCTCTCTCGTTCTCTATCTCTCTCCCCCTCTCGTTCTCCAGCTATCTCCCCCTCTCTCTCTCTCTCTCTCACCCAGACACGCATATGATTATCTCCCCACCTCGCTTCCATTCTTTACCTTCAGCAGCTCCCTCTCTCTCTCTGTCTTTCGCACACACGCACGCAGGAGGCATTCTAGCGGCAACCTTGCTGAGTATACCACTCTTACTACGTGCATTATCCGCGTTAACCTAGTATTTGTCAGGAAGCACTTGCAGATCGGGGCGTAGAAAGAAAGCCTCTGCTAATAAGAAATCCTCGGCTAACCTCGCAATAAACCGGTGTTTGTGGCGCGTGAGAGGCCGCAGGAGGTCACGGGCTGAGAGAGAACGCCCCCCCCGCAAGCTTCCCCCGCCTTCTCCTTTAACACCCAACTAACGGACGACGTGACGCTTTAAGGAGTTATAGCGCACGAAAACAGGCTTCTAACGATAGGAGCGAATTTACTGATGGCGCCACTGCTGCCTCATGATTCTCTCATCAGTCTCGCAGAGTTTATAGGTTCACGTCGAGTCAGTGCTCCTTGTATCTGCTCCTTCTTCCCTTGCTTTCCCGCTCTCGCTTCCTCTCTCGACTATTTCCCCCCCTGGCGAGTGACGTATTCTTATGAGACAACATTCTCGTCAAGTGTCATTTCATGGCTTGTGTGGAATGCTATTAGCGTAAACGATTGCGGTGTACAAATTGCAAAGTATTACTACTATACTATACTGCTACTGCGGTTGCTAATGTTGTATAACAGCTAAACTGCCTGCTAGTCAGGTCTCAACAACAAAAACCAGTACAACACTACTACTACTACTGCTACGGCTACTACTACTACTACTACTACTACTAGTAGCATAGCAGTAGCCAGTAGGCAGTAGCAGCAGTAGCAGTAGCAGTGATACATAGCAGTACAGTAGGCAGTAGCAGTAGCAGTAGTAAGTAAGTAGTAGTTGTAAGTGTAGTTAGTAGTAGTAAGTAGTAGTAGTAGTAGTAGTAGTAGTAGTTCAGTAGCAGTAGCAGTAAGCATAGCTAGTAGCAGGTAGCAGTACAGTAGCAGTAGCGAAGTAGAGTACAAGCTAATTAGTAGTGAAGTAGTAGTAGTGGTAGTGTTGTAGTGTTAGTGGTAGTGTAGTGGAGTGAGTAGTAGATCGCAGTAGCAGTAGCAGTAAGCAGTGGCAGTGGCAGTGGCAGTGGTATGGTAGTGGTAGTGGTAGTGGAGTGGTAGTGGTAGGTGTAGTAGTGGTAGTATAGTAAGTAAGTAGTAGTATAGTAAGTAGTAGTAGTAGTTAGTAGTAGTAGTAGTAAGTAGCAGCAGCAGCAGCCAGTAGCAGTAGGCAGTAGCAGTAGCAGTTAGCAGTAGTAGCGCAGTAGAGTAGTTAGTAGTAAGAGTAGTATAGGCATAGACGTAGCTAGTAGTAGAGTAGTAGTAGTAAAGTAGTGTAGTATAGTAATAGTTAAGTAGTAGTAGTAGTAGTAGTAGTAGTAGTAGTTAGCAAGTAAGTAGTAGTAGTAGTTAGTAGTAGTAAAGTATAATAGTAAAAGTAGTAGTAGTAGTAGTCGACACATAAACCCAAGCACCCCGGCCACACAGCTCTCCCATTCCTAACACAACAACATACAGCATCAATACTGGGCAGCATGTATAAACCCCAGCATCCACGCCACACAACCTCCCCTCCCTACACACAAACAACAGCTCAAACGACACATGTATAACCCCAGCATCCCACGCAACACTCTCCCTCCTACACAACATACATACAGACATACAGTGTGTTAGTGTAAGCACGTATGATCCCAGCTCACCCCATCACAGCCCTATTAACACAACAATATACTGATTGCTGTAATAATCTCCCATCTCTCCCCACCCCTCTCTCTTCTCCTCTCTCCTCTCTCTCTCTCTCTCTCTCTCTCTTCTCTCTCTCTCTCTCCTCTCCACTCTCTCTCGCTCTCTCTCTCTCTCCTCTCTCGCTCTCTCTTCTCTCCTCTCTCTCTCATCTCTTCTCTCCTCTCTCACTCTTCTCCTCTCTCCTCTCCTCTCCTCTCTCTCTCTCTCTCTCTCTCTCGCTCCTCTCTCTCACTCTCTCTCTTCTTCCTCCTCCATCTTCCTCTCTCTCTCAATCTCTCTCTCTCTTCTCCTCTCTCTTTCTCTCTCTCTCTCTCTTCTCTCTCCCCCTTCCTCTCTTCCTCTCTCTCTCTCTCCCCTTTCTCTCGTCTCTCTCTCCTCTCTCTCTCTCT